CCTCTAACCCCTTGAGCCACCTTTCCCCCCCCCCCCAAAAAAAAAAAACCATCTCTCAACCGGGGGTCAGAGACTTAGTCCACCACACCCCCCTGAAAGACCAAGAATCTGACCACCTATCGAACAGGTAAAAAATCGTATGTCTCAGGAGTTACATATTATTCTGAACGTCAGTTGCAAGGCTCAGGCCAACGCACTGATTCTTTTCAAAATGGTCCCATATGCACTTGGGGAAAACTAGTGCACAGGAGAAATGGTGATAAACTGATGCGGAAACATGGAAATTTCCGACGAGCAATCTGCTTTTGTTGAGGAAACTCGAGGAGCCATTCAACGCCAAATGAAGCAATGTGATTCAGAGAATAGAAGGATAGCGGTACACTTAGATGAAGCGCCACTGTTCAACCAATAGCCGGGAGCCTGAATCTATTCAGTAATCCGTGAGGTGCACATTGGTGGTGATTCCAAACACGGACTAAACATACGCGCAGTGCACTTAAGCTTGTCAAAGGGAGCGATTTTACCCTCAGGATGAAATCTCGGTTGAACTTGTGGATGTCCTATAAATCGCAAACGCATTAAAGAATAATTAGTCTGGTAAGATATACCAGTAACGCCTACGAGGGTCTATCCTTTATACGGCTCACAATACAAGCATACGTGGATCCACAGTATGCGCACAACTATGTCACACAAACAGCGAACATCAAATAAAAACATTTAGGACGAACAATAAGGTAATCTCTGTCTCTTCATGAATGAAGACTCAGTTAAGCTCTAGAAAACCTACATCATTGTTCACATCCAAAACACCTTCTTGTATTTTCTCATGAATGCACTTGGCCGTATCAATGAAGGCCTCTTCCACGTTGGCTGCAGTCTTGGCAGATGTCTCCATGAAAATCAGGCCATGCTCACGAGCAAACGCTTCGCCTTCTTCTTTTTGCACATCACGGCGACTTTCCAGATCACTCTTGTTACCAATTAACATGATAACCATATTTGAACTGGAGTGCTGCCGAGCGTCTTCAAGCCAGGAAGTGAGATGCGTGAACGTCTCTCGTCTAAAGAATGGACAAATATGAAAAGGAAATGCGTACCGAGTGATGTCATAGACCAGAAGGGCACCCGCAGCTCCTCGATAGTAGGATCGAGTGATTGAACGGAATGACTCTTGTCCAGCCTGGGAAATAAGGAGAGGAAATGATGGTGACGAAGGAGCAACGTACAGTATCCCAAATTTGAAGCTTGATTTGCTTCCCACCGATGTTGATCATGCGTGCACCGAATTCTACGCCGATTGTCAGATCGTGCACAGGTTGGAACCGTTTGTCGGTGAACTGAAGTAGCAGGCATGACTTTCCAACACCTGATGGGAATAGGGAGAGGAATACTGGAAAATTAACAAGCCTTTGGCGGAAAACAGTGGTATGCACATAGGTAATAGACCGAGTTTAGAATTCACGCAGAACATGTATCAAAAGAGTATCAAAAGGCTATCTCCCAAACTTAACTCACGATGGAGAGAAAAAAGCGTTGATACACTATGAAATGCTCATTAAATGAGCGACTATTATGCAATCGCTCAACATAAGTCGGCCAATCCGGACAGACGGAAAGCACTAAAACAGGTCAGACTACTGGAACGCTAATCGCTATCACAAAAGACAAGTCAGGTAGAATAACATGACAGTTACACCCGAACGGCTCAACTGAGAAGAAACGCCCAATCAACTACATTCCTAGCAGTGAAATAAGATGCAATAGTGAACTCAAATTTATCCTATCGTATGTGCTGAACATTGTGGGCAAAAAAGGTGCAAACACCTTTCTTGGAGAAAACGTTGCAAAATGACGCAAAACGACACAGGAGCATCATCCGCCCCAAATATTGACGAAAATTGAGAGCATCCACATCAGATGCAGCGCTAAGATACTGGTGAAGTACTTCGGCGAGAACACCAAATTTGATGGTGCACACTTATGGTTCATAGGAGCGGCCTTCGTCGGCAAAGGAATAAACGGGATCGCGTACATATTGCAAAATATGCCGACCAGCGCCAAGCCTACCCGATTGTGCATTCCACAACCACAACGACTAGGAGCGGCGTCGGCAAAGGAATAAACGGGATCGCGTACATATTGCAAAATATGCCGACCAGCGCCAAGCCTACTCGATTGTGCATTCCTTCCACACAACGACTCATACAGTGTTCTATCAGTGATGCCAGTCTTTGATGGAGATCCGAGAAACAACACTACTGCTGTTTCATCCTTGCTGGGAATCATCAGCGTTGCGCGTCTCGCAGTGCCTAGCTGCTGTACACCTCGAAAGAAGCTCAAGGGCTGAGATACTGCCAGGTTGCCCAAGCCTAGACACGAGCATTCGAGATGCAGATGTTGGGTCTGAATCACCGAGCTTTTGGTAATCGTCATCATCATCATCATCA